GAATAACTGACGGCTACTGGGTTGTGGGTTGGGCCTCTACCCATTGGGCTTAGTTGTGTGGTCCTCCTATCATGATCCACACAAGATTATAAAGACCAATCTGTTTGGGCTTATTAATTAATGTTAATCCATAAATAAATAAATAAATATTCTAACAATCTCCCACTTATATTGCATTAATTAAGCAAGTAGTATAAATAAGCCATAAACAAAATTCAAAAAATGAAACTCCACAAAATCACTGGATCCTATAGGGAAACAACTGATATGATATCTCATAATCTGAATAAAACACAAAATTTTATTTTAAACACGGCTCAATAAGATAACAACATAAATCACTAATTCCTATGGGGAAGCAAGTGACATGCATAGTATGCCACAACAGAATTATTGAATCCTATGGGGATACAAATGATATAGACGCATTTAACTGAACTAAATGTAACTCACAGAAGAAAACAAAAGTCTAAAGAGAAATTACAACACAAAAGATTCTTAAACTCCCACTAAAACAGGGCATCAAAGGAATTCACAATACCCGTACAAGTTATATGATTTTGAAAAAAAAAACTTCTACAAGTAAGCCCTTGATCAATGAATCTACAAGCATCTGCATGCCAGGAATGTGTACCACACAGGTTTGAGACTCAGTAATTTTCTCTTTTACAAACATAAGTTCGATATCAAAATGATTTGTATGACTGAAATTTCTGTGATTATTAACATAGTATACTACAGATTTATTATCACAGTAAATGGTTAAAGGACGTGATATTGACTCAACTAGGCGCATACTAGATATCAACTTTCTCAGCCATATAGCGTGGCGTGTAGTCTTAAAACAAGCAATATATTCAGCTTCCATGGATGAAACTGCTATAACTGTCTGTTTCACACTTTTTCAAGAGACAGCTCCTCCAGACAACATGAAAATGTGGCCGGTTGTGGATTTATGATCATCCCAACAAGAGGCAAAATCTGAATCTAAAAAGCTAACAATTTCAAGATCTTCTGATCCCTTAAAGTCATAATCAAAATACCCAACAACCTTAAGAGAATTTGACCTTCTGTAAGGTAACATATAATTCTTTGTACCCTGAAGATTCCTCATAAGTTTCTTAGTAGCCTTCCAATGATCTGGACCTAGATTATTTAAGTATTGGCCTAGCACTTTAATGGCAAAGGCTATATCTGGTCGAGTACACACTTGAAGATACATAAGGTTACCGACAGCGGAAGCGTATGGTATCTTTCTCATTTCAGCCGTCTTCTTATCATCCTTGGGACATTGTAACTTTGATAACAGCTTACCTTTTTGTACAGGAGCAGGTGAGGGAAAACATGAATCCATTTTGAATCTCTTGAATACCTGCTCAATATAAGTAGTCTGTAATAAACTAAGAATACCACGATCTATCAGGATGAATCTGTATCCCAAGAACGAAAGAGGCTTCACCCATGTCTTTCATGTCAAAATGGCAAGACAATAGGTGCTTTATCTCATTGAGAAAATTTATTGAATTCTTAGCTAATAAGATATCATCAACATAGAGAACAAGAATGAAAAAATTATTCCCATCAAACTTCTGATAGATACACTGATCTGAGACATTCTTAATAAAACTGAGTGAGGTGACAACTTCATCAAACTTTAGATACTATTGCCTAGAAGCCTGTTTTAGCCCATAGATAGATCTCTTCAATCTACACACTAGATGTTCTTTACCAACTTTCAACAAAACCATCAAGTTGTGTCATGTAGACTTCTTCATACAAATCGCCATTCAAGAACGCAATCTTGACATCCATCTGGTGAAAATCAAGATCAAACTGTGCAACTAAAGCCATTACCACTCTAAAGGCATCTTTGGTGGATACCGAAGAGAAGTTCTCTGTGTAATCAATACCTTCTTTCTGGTTGTAGTCCTTAGCTACAAGTCTGACTTTGTATATATCAATTTCACCTCTAACTTCTCATTTTGTTTTAAAGACCCACTTGCAACCAACTATTTTAAAACCCTTTGGTAGCTCTACAAGCTCCCATACGTGATTGCAATATATAGAGGTGATTTCTTTACTCATAGCCTCCAACCATTCAGAAGAATGCGAGCTAGAAATAGCCTCTTGGTAAGATATCAAGTCTAAACTATCAATAGCATCTGAATCAAATTCCTATAGATACACCATGTAATCATCTAGAATAGCAGACCTGCGAACCCTTTGGGACCATCTTGGTTCAACAACCAGATCTCCATCACCCTCTAAAGGTGGTTCATCTTCAGCTTCATCCTGATCCACATCATTATTTCTGTCAACATGAGGGGTTGTCAAGATAGGCATAAGCAAAGTACTGCTTTCATCATGTAAAGTAATATGCTTAGGCCCAGAGCTCCCACTGTCTAAGGCATCTTCAAAGAAATAAGCTCGGTCAGATTCAATTACCTTAATAATGTGATTTGGACAATAGAATTTGTACCTGCGAGATCTGATGCAATAACCAATAAAGAAACCATCAATAGTTTTAGCATCAAGCCTCATCTGTTGTGGATTGTAAGGTTTTACTTGTGCTTTACAACCCTAAACTTGCATATGCTTCAACGCAGGAGTCCTTCCAAAATTCAACTCGTATGTAGTCTTTGGAACTGACTTGCTAGGAACTTAATTCAAAATATAGACAGTAGTTTTAAGTGTATCACCCTATAAGAATTTCGATAGTGAGGAGTGACTGATCATATTTCTAACCATATCCATGAGAGTACGATTTCTCCTTTTTGCAAACCCATTCTACTGGAGGGTGCCAGGCATAGTATACTGAACTTCAATGCCATGCTCTTGAAGGTATAAAGCGAATGGCCCATAATTTCTACTAGTTTCAATATATCTCCCATAAAATTCTTCTCCTTTGTCAGATCTCACACATTTGATCAACTTGTTAGATTTCAATTCGACTGCTGCCTTAAAGGTCTTGAATGCATTAAGAGACTTGCCCTTCTCATATAAGATTTCAATCCATCCATAATAAGAGTAATCATCTGTGAAGGTGATGAAATATCTGAAACCACCCATAGTCGGAGGTGTGATAGGTCTAAAGTATTTTCAGACCTCTTTTTCCCTTTGGTTTTAGCTCAAGTAGGGAATTTTCCCTCTATGTAATCAATACAAGTCTCAAAATCTGAGAAATCAAGGTCTTGCAAGACACCTTGTTTGGCCATGCGTTCCAATCTCTCTCTAGAGATATGACCCAAACAACGATGCCATAATATGAAGGAATTATCACTGGGCCTTTGACGTTTATACCCAATGGCAGCATTGATATAGAAATTAGGAAGTTTAAGTGACCAATTAGTCAATCGATATAAACCATATATCAAGGAAGCGAAACCAACATTAATGGAATCAAAACAAATGTCAATTTTCCTATTTCCTTGGAAGAAAGAATAGCCATAAATATTCAATACAGAAATTAAAATTAAATTCCTCTTCGCAGAAGGTACATAAATGACATTGTTCAAATGTAAAACATGACTAAAATTTAAATACAAAGTAATAGTCCCAATGCATTCAACTAATGCCTTGCTCCCTGCTATGCCAAAGACTGACTTCTGTGCCTCACTTGGAATCTTCTGGTTTCTTAGCCTCTGTAGAGAATTCACAACATATACAGTGGCACCAGAATCCAACCACCATGAGTCAAAGAAAGTTTCAATGGTGTTAGATTTAAAACAAACTAGAGCTAGAGGGGTAGTTTGAAGATTTACACCTTCACTTTCTTGTTTGTTCTTCAGTTTGAAGCAATTAGCTTTAATATTAAAATATTAATATTAATTATGAAATATTAATGGATATACCCTATAGGTGTGATATTATTAATGTGATTTTGATGGTTGATTTTAAGGATAGGCTAATAACACTCCTTTAATGTGTTAAATATTTATTGTACCCTATAGGTATGGAAATGTTTAATGCATTATCTTGTATGGACTTTTGTATGAGCTAAATTTTAATGGTATATGAGCATTCTTAGTGCATGATTATAGTTGCATTATTGATAATTGCTTGTTGGGGAATTCTATTTCATAATTATGTTGTGTACACATAATTAATATTTCCCATTTTCCGTTTTGTGATTTCAGTTTCTGCTTTTGCACAACTATCCTTTGTGAAGGCTCTCAATGGGACTAACTATGATGACTGGAAAGAGTCCTTGAATATGTATCTAACCATTTTTGAGAAAGATTTAGGTTTGAGAGAGCCCAAGCTTGCGGATCTCTTTTCTGAGTCCAGTGCTTCTGAAATGGTCTTCCATAAACAATAGAGTGAGTCCAACCGGATCCGTCTTACGATTATCAAGTACACAATTGAAAAGAAAATTAGGGACAACATTCCTAAAAAGGATACTGCAGTGGAATACTTGAAAGCTATTGGTAACAAATACAAGAAGCTTGACAAGACTCAAAAGAACTACTAGTTGTCACTTCTTGACAATACTCGATATGATGGAGTTTCTAATGTCAGGAAGCACATTCTGAAGCTTGTTCATTACTATAACAAGCTTAAATTATATGAAATTGACTTGGGTAAAAATACCTTAGTTTACCATGTTCTTCAATCACTGCCATCAGAGTATGCATTCTTGAGGACTTCATATAACTCACAGGAAGCTATAAAGAAGAACTCCTCTTACTCAATAAAATATGTTTCACATGGTTCTAGCAGCAAATCTGGAAGGTTATATAAGAAAAAGGAAAAAAAGCATAATGCCTCAAAGCTTAATAATTTAACTTTTAAGAAGGATGGTGATAAGAGTAAGAATTCAAGGAAGAAACCCTTTAACAATATCCTAAACATAATCAATAATTCATAAAGTCACAAATTTTATGACCTTAAGACAAAACAAAATAATTTGAAAAGTCCTTAGGATCTTTTAGGAATTAGGACAAATTTAAGACCTAAGTAAAATTTTGAAAGGTGTCCAGGGGTGGATAGGTCACAGAGGTACAACCTTACTTGAACAGGATCTGTTTTATAAGCTTGTACCTCTGTGTCCTTGAGTTTCAAGGAGACAAGAACCACAGCTTGGTGGATGACTTATGACCAGGTGATCAGAGCGTGATTATTGGTGTTGGTTGCCCAATCTTGTGCTCAACCTGGCTCTGATACCACGTGTTAAAATTTAGTATCTTAATTCATGTAAATAAGAAAGTAAAGAATATATGCGTACTTGAAAAATCTATGAGCGTTTGAAAAATCTCGATTACCTCAAGTGTAGACAAGTGCACAATCCACAGGTCTCCAAAGTCTTCAAAGAGTTTAGAGATAATGGAGCAGAAGAAAATGAGTCGTGTATTTGCGGTTATCGACTGATCGACTTATATGGATCAGATCGGTAACTGCCTTATTAAATAATTAAATAATTATATATTTTATTATCTCTAACTCAGTCAGTTAAAAGATAGGGAATAACTGATGGCTACTGGGTTGTGGGTTGGGCCTCTATCTATTGGATTCACTTGTATGATCCTCCTATCACGATGCACACAAGATCATAAAGATCAATCTGTTTGGGCTTATTAATTAATATTAATTCATAAATAAATACATATTCTAACAATACAACTTATTATGCGACAAAGATCTCTGTTCTCTATTCGTCTTCGACGCTCTGCTCCAGCATCCCTCCCACTATTGTTGAAGAATCGTGTGCCTATAAATGAAGTGAGAGATCATGTGTTGAACAGTAAAATTGGTACTAGGAATTGCAAATTTATTTTTTTAAAAAAATATCAGTTGCAGATAATCTCAAAATTTAATGTTAAAATATTGCGTTTCAAATAGAGTTGCAAATCAAAATCAATAGAGTTGCAAGTCTGGAAGCATAAGTCGCAAATTTGTATAGTCAAAATTTCTATTATAGTCATTAAAAATATGAGTTCCCCCCGCCCCCCATTGAGTGTATGTCGTAAGGCTACCTAAGAATATAAGGACTTCTATTTAATTTTGGAATTCACTGGAATTTTACTGGAATAACAATTTATAGAACGTGAAACATGAACGACATCACGCGGTTGGTGACGTCAGTTCTGGCAACGGCGTCATCCTAACCGTTCCCACGCAAACCGTAAACGACGATTACGCATTTGGAAACTTGAACACGTGGCATCCAACTATTGGAGCGTAGGTTCTAGAAGGTCGTAGATGATGGATGATGGAGAGTGGAAACCCGAAGGAAAAAGTGGCGGTCGTAGTCAATCTGGATCTCCAAAATTGATCCCTTTCTTTAAAAGGGGAGGTCTGCTCTCCCATATTCCTGTTGCAATTAGTGGACGACCCGGGAGAGGAGAACCCAGAAGCCGCCGGTCACCCTACCCTAGTTCTTTAGGTATTTTTCCCTCGCATTTATTTATGTAGGGATTAGGGATTCTGGTAAGTATATACATTTCTGTTGAGGGAGTCGTTGAATTTGGCATTTCCAGTTTTGATTTGGATCTTTGATATTCGGAAGTTTTAATTTTGGGAATTGGGTTTCATCTTGGGTTGGGGAATGGGTGCATGTTTATTGTTAAGTTTCAATGTAATTTCGTAAAATGTGAGGATTGAATTAGGCATGAGAGGGCGACATTATCCTTCGGTTGTAATTTATGTTACTCTCTGTCCTCGCTTCACCTTGGTCTCAGATTTGGATTAGTTGCAATGGAGTTTTCTAATGATGCGGCTTTTATTTCCTGCATTACGCCCAGCAGAAACTCCTTATATGAAGTAAACCCTGGTGATTTTTAGGGGTGGAAGGAATTGACATGCTTTGACAGATACATTTCTCATGTCTTTTCACATGTGAAGTCTGATGGAGTTTTCAAATAATTGTCATTCATTTTTGTTAGGTCCTTGTCAATTTCATTCAAAGGTTTACGACTTTTTAGTGATACCAAGCTGCTGAGTAACTTTCTATTGAACTGCAGCGGATGGCTGAGGTATGTGAAACTAAATATTGTTTCAATTATTCTTTTGCCATTTGGCTTTCTCCAAAGCAATTAACAATTGCTAGCGTGCTTATCACAGTAGCCTATATTGATTGTAGGAGGGTCACAGGGTTACTCTTAATGTTTATGATCTAAGTCAAGGACTTGCTCGACAGCTTTCATCAACATTTTTGGGGAAATCCATTGAGGCTGTTTGGTGAGTTCTTTGCTATGCTGGTCCAGAATTGATTACCATAACAGACTTAGATGGCTTTGTGTTTTGCTAGATTGAAAAATGATTTCATACATGATAGTTGACATATGTTCTGATGATAAGATCTCTTGATGACGATGCCTTTGTGGTTGCTTGTCGATGCTGTGGATGTGTAATAGTACTCGGACTTGAAAATCTATTTAATAGTAGAATGGATGTCATTCTTGGAAGCATGCTGCTTGTTTTTTTGGCTTTTGTCCCGTTACTTTTCGTTCCTTTGTTAAGAAAGGTGGTTGGCCTTGGTGATGCTGAGCATGTAAAACGTGACTTCTTTTATTTTGTGCTTGGATTAATGAGTATTTGAACTTGAATTCGAACCAAATCTCCCATTTACATACATAAAAGTTTATGGATGTGGATTTTATCCAAATCTAAATTCATTTTTTATTATAATTTTGTGATTTCAAATTATTTTTATACTTAGTTATTTGAAATTTCAGTCATTCCTCTTCACATTTTCACTATAAGACACTCTTTTCTCTTTTCTTGTTCTTGTCATTCCTATTCTTTTGTTCTTATTTCTAATCTCTGCTTGTCTCTCTTTTTTTCTTTGAAATTTTTTACACTATCTAAATAAAAGGATTTTAATTTTTAAATAAATGGATTTTAAATGTGAGATTTAAAATCCAAAATCTAAATCCAAATTCTACCTTAGTATGCAATTATTTGTTGGAAGATTGGAATTCTTATGACTCTGCATGCTGTGTTGTACCTCAGGCACACAGGAATAGTGGTTTATGGTAATGAGTATTACTTTGGTGGGGGTATACAATATTCTCCCGCTGGATCAACTCCGTATGGTACGCCCCTTAGAGTTGTAGAATTGGGTGTAACACACGTGCCTAAGGATGTATTTGAAACTTATTTAGATGAAATCAGTCCACGCTACACAGCGGAAACTTATAATTTACTTACACACAATTGCAACAACTTCAGCAATGAAATTGCCCAGTTTTTGATCGGCACAAGCATTCCTGACTATATTCTACAGCTTCCTAATGAAGTTATGAGCAGCCCGATGGGACATCTTATATGTAAGTTGTTGAAATTTACCCTTTTCTTACCTTCCCATGTTATTCCTTTTATGGACCTCTTTCAATGCGTTTTTTGATGTTTTCTTTAAAAAATGATGAATCTAAGGAATTCATAGGTTTCTTATTTTTTCATAGGGGATGCTCTTGACAAATCCTTATAGGGCATTTCATCTGCGTGTAGAACCTCTTGGGTTGTAGCTCTTTATGCTAATTATTGAAAGCATTTCTGCATCAATGTATTTTCCTTGACTGATCATCCTACAGAGCGTGATATTTAGCAGTGTTTTCCTAGGTTCATTTACTGATGTTTTGAACAAGTTTCCCCTATCATAAGTTGAACTGGCTTTTGAATTTCAGCCTTTTTGTTACAGTGTATGTGAATTTTAAGGAATGATGCTTGTTGAGAAATCGTTCTATTTACAAATATCGATGGGTGCTTGTGGAGGCATGAATTGCTGATATCGGACACTATGATATTTCATTTTTCAGTGCCTATGATACAGAATTTAGAGACGACATTGAGATCTGGTGCGGTTCCCCAAGTTCCCCAATTTAAACCTTCAATGGTGCCGCCTCGGGATCCTGCCTCATTAAGTACTGCGAGAACATTAGGCAGCCCTAAGTTTTCTTCTGAGAAAAGTTCTTCCGGAGTGGTGCATGTTGAAACGAAAGACAAGGTGGAGGGCCCAAAGGCAACGGGAAACGTGGTGCGACCTGCTGGGGGGAGAGAGAAATCAGTCCCTAACGTAGTTGCGGGAGATCCTCTTGGGGAAGCCCGCAGCAAGGTGCAAGAGGAGATTGTCAGAGAGTTTGCAGCAATAATGGCAACTGGTACGATGCGTGCTAGTGAGGCTGCAGCTCTAGCAACCAAGAGAGTGATGCAGAGATATGGGCAGACGGCTGTGTCACAGAGCTAGCATCATGCAACTCTCGTCTCTTTGCTCTAGCTGGGGGATAAACTGATTCCCTATGAATGTCGACATGGTGTTATCATTGTTCCTTGATTTATGTTACTTCAAGATGAATTAATTAAGCCCCAGAAGATGAAAAAAACAAAATTGATATCTTCCCAATATAATTCGGATAATGTCCTCGTTAATATGTTGGAAATGATTTTGATGGAAATAGGCATGGAGGTGGAGTTGAATATGAAAATGGAAATAAGTATGGTGTTAAAAATTATACTTGGTATGTTTATAATTTTTATGAAAAATATTTATTCAGTGTTTAGTGACTCGAATGCCATTGCTTTTAAAAAACCTTAGACTACCAAGCCATCATCCTCCATTGGAGACACCAATCATCAACGGCAACACCATCCATCAACACGACAAACCAAAGAGCCTTTCAGAATAATAACAGCAATCAACAAAACAAAATCAATTGAAGGTGAAGAGGGTAGAATAAAGCATCTGACAATGAATAAAATCGCCATTAGAAGAGCAGAAGTCATGAATTAGAATCACAGGGGGCCATTGGTGAGATCACAAGTTTGGGAGAGGAACCTCTCTATTTCTTTCTCTTTATTTCTCTTCACTTCTTCCATCTCAATTGATTGAGATGGAAATTGAGATGGAAGAAGTGGAGGGAAATGAAGAGAAAGAAATGAAGAGACCCTTCACCCCACTAGTCATAGGTTTGTCCTATCCAGTCTCACCATTTCCTCTTATTCATCCTCATCATTGCAAGTCGAATAGGTCAAGATTCAAGAAACCCTTCACATTGACTTCTTTGTTGAATCACCTTTGTGAGGCTAGTTGTTGTTGTTGTTGTTTAGCTTCATTTTTGTTGTCTTCTCTAGTTTGTGTCTAATGAACACTAATTAAGGTTAGAGAAGCTATAATGGGGTTGATGGTTTGTCAAAAGGATGAGGAAAATAATGAGGTAAAAGATGCCAAAGTCTCACTTTCTTAGAATTGTTTAGATTTTCATGAGTGAGAGGATGGAAGTCAATTCAGCCATTTTCTGTAGAATCAGATTCCACATGGAATTATCATTTGACATACTAGGTAGGTTAAAATTTTATTTCCATAATCAATTCCATTTCTATGTTCCTGAATTTTATCATACCAAACAGGACATAATTTATTATATAGCAATTACTGACTTGAATTTTTTTTAATTTTTTGTATCAATTTAAATATAACATTAGACATAAAATCTATGATCTCTAAAGGGAGTGATAAAGGTCCTTTTTAAACTTTAGATTTTTTTGGTCAAAATCACTCATTTTTATTTTTTTAAAAATCAATTTTGTGAAATTTGACCATGTTTGATTAAACTTTTAAAAATAATTAGGATATGAAAATAGTTGACCAATTACGTGGTAGATAAGGGACAATACAACATAAAAAATAGGGACAATATCATTTAAGGAATCTTGGAGAGTTTTTATATAAAAAAAAGGACCTTAAAAATCTTAAATTTCATTGCACTCCTTAGGCACCTATGTGAAAATAAGATTTTATTAGAAAAGACCTAATAATCCTTAAAGTTTAATAATTTAATGGGTTGTTAATTACATATGGCTAGTTATCAAAACCTGAATGAATACTTATTTATGCAAGACTAAAACTTGTACAATTTGTCAATTATAATAATTTGTTAATTACGAATGTATTGTTGTTAATTATATATGGTTACTTGTCAAAAATTGAACAAATGCTTTATACAAGATCAACACATATACAATTAAACATGTGCTGTTAGTTATAGTTGTAATATCCTAGAAAATTAACCCTTGGTTAGTTAAGTTAAATGAAGTTAATCAAGTAAATTAATGTAGTGTGTGGTTACAAAGAGCTAATGAATATGTTGGGTTATAGTTTCAATCCTAGGATTGAATTTAGAGTGGAGTTAGGGCGCTTGAACTTCAAAAAGGTAGAAAAACTAGAAGTAGCTTAATGCCATATACCACAACGTGTGCATTGGTGGTATGTGCCATTGTGTGTGGTCAATTTTTGGCAAAAATAAGAGCATGGATCTATTTCAAGAATAGAAGGAAACCAAAGGGAAAACGAAGAAGGTGTGTGGAACTCTGTTATACTTTAAAGGTCTGGAAGTAATTTGGAGTTAGATAACACCTAAGGTAAGTGTACCAAGCTTTCTCCTTCCTTTTTCTTCCATTTTTCTCAAGTGTTTGAGTTGAGAAAGTGATTTTCGATCCATAATGGTCATGAGTCCAAACCTATTAACTTAAATAGAGCTATTGAGAGTTGTTTATGTTATTTAAACCTAATATCTATCTCTTGATGGTTTTGGTGGTTGGAGGATAATTAACACCCAAAAATTGCACTTAATGAGGCTGTTGGAGGTATTAGATAGTCATTAATGAAGTTTTGGTTGTTCATTGGAACCAATGTGAACTAAAAAAAGCCAATAAACTCTATAGGTAGGCTTATATGTCAAGAATTGGAGTTTTGGGAATATTGAGTTAGATGTTGGGAATCATACTAATGAGGATATTAATAATTATTGATGTGATTAATTGTATATTAATCACAAATTGGCACCATTCAAGTTTTTGAGAAGCTTTGGAAGAAATTGTATTGATGGGCAAACATTTGACCTCTTAAAGATTTAAGAAAATTGAGAGAAATTTAGCTTTGTGTAATTGTTTGTTTAATTGATTATATGTGTTTAAGAACTTGTTTGGAAACCATATGATGCATATAAGCTTATTTTGATGTAATTATTGCAATTTGAGAAAGATTTTATGATATTTGTGAATGAGATGTTGATTGTGATAGTGAGTATGATCATGGAACATGTAAGGGAATGGTAATAAAGATAATGTTTCAAAAAGAAAATGTATAGAGCCTGATGCTTGTATGAGTTAGTGAAAGACATGTGTAAATGCTATAAGATACCTTATGTGTGAGATAATGTAAAATGTATTAAGTATGGTGATTGAGAAATCGTATGCTATGTATATGCTATTGCAAACTCACATGCAAGTAACATGTTTGAAAATGTACATGCTTTATAATTGGGCATGAGTTTCATTGCCTAATCATTTAAGGTAGGAGTTCGCCTATAGAAAAAGAAATAGACATTAGAAATTCACATGGTAAGAGCAACATTGAAACTCAATGGTTTGCCTCTATTATTTATTGTTTTACTTATTCTTAAAGAGACTATCCTCTATGTTCATTGAGAGACTTGAACTTAATTAGTATTCATTAGTTCATGAGAAGGCTAGCTTAGGAGTATGACACCCCATGATTGTTAGTATTGAGAGAAACTATGACTCACAAGTGAGTGTAGAAGCTCTGACTGAACAACTCCTTACAAGTGAAATTCTTGGAGTCTAATTATACAAACAAATCCCACTAAATAGCCAATAATTTTGTATTAAAGGTATCAGGATGGTATAAGAGTAACATTGATTATACATATCATATTATAGCTATATGATTGTTATTTTTGTGATCTTGTATATCATATTATAGCTACATTGTTGTTATTTTTGTGACCTTGCATCTTGTATAAAAGACGTATGCTTATTGGTATTGTAACCGTTGTGAACACTATATTTTATCCGGACATATTTTACATTTAATAAAAATAATAATAAATGCAACCAAAAAAAATAAAAATAAAAAAAATAAAATTTAATCCTTTTTAGGATTATATTTTCAAAATTAAAAAATATTTAATTAATAAGTTTATTTTATTTTAACCTGGATAATCTTTATTAGTTAGGATCTTATTTCTTTTAGTTCATTAAAAAAATAACCAAAAAATATAAAATATAAAAATACAATTTAATCCTTTTTAGGGTTATATTTTAAAAATAATAATAATTTAAAAAAATCAAAAAATCCTGCTTAATTTTTTTAAAATTTTTCCCAAATTATCTCAACCATTTAAAGATATTGGGAATCAATTTTTTGAGACTCAACTATTTTTAAAATTCTCTCCTTGAATCTTTTTATTTTTCATTTAAATATATATATATATATATATTTTAAAATTATATTTTTCTTTCCCTCCCTTAATCTAATTAATAAAAAAGCATTAAAAAGAATGGCTGGAAAAAAATGCTGATAGGCGCAGAAAAGAAAGGGGGGCCAGAGACGCAAACACTAGACATGCACGTGTGAAGAAAAACAAAAATGCAGAGAGCAAGCATCACAGCAAAAACAAGAATAACAGAAGTAGAGAGCAGAGCAGTCTTACACATATACGGAACACACATGAACACAGCAACACAGAGAGAGAGAGAGAGAGAGCAGACTCAGTCATAGGCGCAAAGAAGAACTAGATGTAGAGAGAGGAACAAAGAGTAGAACATGCACACGCATACACTTTCGGCCAGCGGAAGAAAAGAAATAGAACCAGAGATGCATGCATGCACGCAGTAGTCAAAGCAGAGCAGCATATGCATAACAGAAGACCAGAGGTACATGCTAAAGAAAACACAAAGATGCACGATGCAGAAAAAAGAAAAATTAGAGCACAGACACAGCACACAGAACAGATGAAAAATAGAGAAAGGAGTAAGCAAAAGCAAAAGAGAAAAGCCAGATGTGCACGAAAGAGAAAAAGATGGTGGCTTCAGTGATAAACAGAGTTGAATGAAAGAAAAAGAGGAGGACTTGATTTTTGCTCCTGGAGACGAGAACGAACGAGAAAGAGACGGAGCAGAAGTTGGAGAAAGATGGAGCGTTTGAGCGAGAGAGAAGAGGGAGTTGAGGACTTGAAGGGAAGGAGAAATGAGAGACAGAGAGATCAGAAGTGGGGAACGGACGAGAGAAAAATAGAGCATGGAAGTTGCAGTAGAAAAAAATAACAAGAGAGCAACAGCAGAGACTTCTTTAGAACGGGAGAGAGAGACGGAGAGTGAGAGAGGAGGAGCAGCTCGAACAGGGAACGAACAGAGACAAAATAAAGAGACACACAGGAGAGAGAGTAAAGAGGAAGAGATTGAGAGTAGGGGAGAGAGAGAAAACAAGAAGAAGAAAGGCTCTGGTGTAGTGGCGGTGTTCGATACAAAAGTTGAGCCCAGGACCAGACGAGGATCCGGACTGAATGCTTCGAACCTGTGAAGGTCAAAGAATTAATGCTGAGGAAAAAGACCTCCAAACTTGGACCAGAGCACTTGATGCTGCTAGTAGAAAAATTTCTTCTGAGGCAGGGCCAGCAGCTGCAATTCAGATGCCAATGCTTCGGTGGAACTCCTGAGGGAAGGCAGCTATGTTAGGCAATATTGGTTCTAATTCTTCCTGGTGGAGAGCCAAGAGCTTGGAGGAAGAGCTGATCAAAAACACCATCCTTATTAAAAGATTGCAGGTAACGGCTATGGCTTGAATAATATTGTTCTCCTTTTTCCTTCTCTTTCTAAGATTTTATAGTAGGCATAAGTTTGCATGAGTCCTTGACTAGCTATTTATAAAATATCCTTTGTAATTTGCGTCTCTTAATGGTTCAAGAGTGTAGTTCTATTTAAGTTTTGAGATTCTTGACACTTGGGAATTACTCACTAAGGTTGCCTACTAATTTCAAAAATTTGACAAGTTCTTCATCTTATGATGTTTGTGTTTGCAAAATGGACTTGTGATGGTTTATATTATAAGATATCCAACGTGTCTAATTTAAGTACATTTAGTTTTGCATGGTTGATTCCCAAATTGCCTTTCAATCTTTTTAATTACTATGTTTTAGAAAATGCAACGTATGGTGGCATGGTTTGATCCTTATATTAATCTTTGTTTATTTGTGATAGTTTATCCATGCGTACTGATAATTGTGGCTAATATCATACATATACCTTATGGTGCTTTCTATTTCCATTTGTTGTCATGATTTCCTTATAAAAGGATAAAGTATAAAAAGAAAAAGAGAGAGATATACATATACATATGTATGTATGTATGTATGGATGTATGTATGTATTTATTTATTTATTTATAGTTTATTTGTAGTATGAGATTTCAAGAGTTTCAGCAAGCATTTGAATTTAAAATGATCTCATACCGTGTAAATGAATAAGATTTTATAGGTATGAGGATCAATCTTGTATGTATTTATATAGGTTTCAAAGACCCATTATTAAAATTAATTCTCTTTTATAATAAATATTTAAGTCTCATGTGAGATTTTAAGAATCATCATAGAGTCTTAAATTAATCACATCATTGTATGGGATAATATATCCTCACAGATATCGTGATTTTCATTTATATGGTAAATAAATAAATAAATTTTTGTAAATGAAATAATAAATATTTTTATAATATTAATTAATTAAATTAATAAATTTAAATTATAATTATATTGTCTAATTGGATCTTTTGGTCACGTAAAATTTTTGAATCTCTATAGACCTTTAAGATAATCGTATTATCATATGAGTCAAAAAGACTCTGCAGATATAACGATTAAGTTTTTAAAAATATATGTACAAATTATATTAAATTAATTAAATTAAAAATGTACTTAAGTATATATTATTTAATCCTTTATTGTGTGAGATTTTGAAATCTCCACAGATATTTAAGATAATTGTATTACCGTATAAGTCAATAAAGCTTTGCAAGTATGATGATTAAGAGTTTTTTTTTTAAATATAAATAGGTATACACACAATTAAAATATATTATTAATACTTAAAAATTTAAGTTAAGTTGTTTAATTCTTCTATCGTGTGAGATTTTAGAATCTCCACAGATATTTAGGATAATCATATTATCGTATAAGTCAATAAGGCTTTGCAGGTATGACGATTAAGATTCTTTAAATATATATATATATATATATATGTTTAAAAAAATATATTAAGTTGCTAAATTCTTTTATCATATAAGATTTCAGAAGCTTCGTAGATATTTAGAATAATTGCATTACCGTATGAACCAATAAGGTTCTGCAGGTATAGTAGTTAAATTCTTAATCATAAAATATAAAAAATAATTATAAATTATTTTCTTTTCTTATTTTAGAATTTCAAAATTGAAAAAATAATTAAAATTAAATTACTTTTTTGCAATTTAAAACACCAATATCAAATTTTAGAAAATTATTTTATCTATAAAGTGGTGAATTAGTTTTAATTAATTTCTCTTTAAAAAATATTTTCACCCACAAATTTTAAGCTCGAAATACGTAAACTTTGATTCCTATCATAGGGTATGTAGGCCTCAAAGTCAGATTATCCTTCCTCATAAATAAATAAATATTCTTCCGGTATTATTATCATTTTTTAAAACACGTGAATAAGAAAGAGATAACTAAAATAACTTTAAAACTATATTAACTTAGCACAACAAACTTCAGGTAACCATTCTCACGAATGAATATTGTGGAGTGCCTAACACCTTCCCTACACTCAATCGACTCTCGAACCTATTTTTTATTTTCACTAACCATCTTTATCCCCTTTAATTGGTTATCCGAGATTTACCTCAAAGTTTTGGTGGCGACTCTTGTTTCATCTGGTTCCCACCCTGAAGGCCAAAACTTCCACTCGCTCTCCGTCCGCGTTGCATTTTCGAGTGTGACAACCTTCATATGTTACAATGTTCTTGTCACATATTTGTTAGTTTGTGACTAAATAGACTGCACTATTTTTAGTATGTGAACATCTATTAGTTGAAAACGCCACTTGCATCATCATATTTGATTGACATGTATTTGTATGAGTTAAATTAATCTTAATTACTAAGTTGTTGTACTCACCCCTCTCTCTTCAATATTATATGTGCTAGCTCATTAGGTTAAAATAGAGAGAAACTACTTAAGGCTTAGGACTTCTTGTCTTAACTTCTAGGCTTCATTTTTTTTGAGTAATTATGTGTACTATCTTAGTGATGTTGCTAACTAGGAGTTGCATTGTTTTATGAGTACTTGCCCTGTATGTTGATTTGAATTAAGTAATATATTTCAGGCCTTAGGTTATATATATGATTAATTTGATATCTAGATAAGGCCAAAATACTAGTATAAGTTTGATATTGATGATAACATTGACTGTGAAGGAGTATTTTTATATTTCAGAGAAAATTGATTCCCCCTTCTATTTTTATGACCAAGGGGTTGAGAGTTAAAATTATGATGTTTGAATTATTAGGATGTTGTGGTGTGTTGCACAGGTTATTTTTAGTCTATTGAGTGTGATCTAGAGGTATTTGTGAGTTTATGACACTAAGTTATGATTTTGGGTACCCAAGTTGTTTTTTAAGGGTTAAAAGGTGTGAGTTTGCAAATGGGTATCCATCTTTTGAATGAGAAATAATTTATAAGTGAGACCAATACTATTAGCTAATGTTCTAAAAGAGCTTTCTATAAATACCTACATCACTTCAATCAAACGTCAGATGGAGAAATAGGTGTGTTGGAAGTTTGCCACAAATGTTGTGCTGTCAAAATATATGTAATGTGCCACAACATATGGCAATTGCACTATAGTGTATCAGTGAGGATGATTTGAAGCATGTTAATGTTATGCGATGATGCATCTCTGTGTATTGTTATAAAATGCCATTTTTTCAACTTTAATGTAAATGCTTTGATATAATTTGGTATTTCATACTTCCGTATACATATTTCACTCTGATTTTTTTGTTTATGATAATACATATATATATAAAGGTGCTTTAAAAGTTTGAAAACTCAAGATTCCATTTATGTGATTTTATAAATTTGATAATCATCTTCGGTTAATCTCATGATTACTTTGGTTTCAGAGTTATGTGTGGATTAGTAAAGACAACCTTACAATAGTTACTTGTTAATTATGAATGAGTTGTTAATAATATAAGGTTAATTGTCAAAACATGAATCGATGCTTATTTATGTAAGGTCAAAACTTGTACAATTATATCTACGCTATTAGTTTTACAACTTGTTCATTTTCGCATGGGTTGTCGTTAACTACATATGATTATCATCAAACACTACCACAGAAAATACCTATACTTGACGTTTATTTTTCCCAATACTTGATGGTTTTTAACTATCAAGTATTAATCTTATACTTGACGGTTATTTGAAAACAACCGTCAAATATATGAAGTAAATATGCACTTCCCAGCATAAATACTTGACGCTTGTTTCAAATACTTGACGCTTGTTTTGAAACGCGTCAAGTATTTTGATACTTGACGGTTATTTTGAAATAACCGTCAAGTATTAATGACATAATTTTTTTATATGGTAGCTGCTTTTAAAGCAGCCCCCTGCATAAAGATACAGATAAAGATAAAAAACAGCCAGCCAGCAATGAAAATAATGCAATATAATGAATGTTTGTAATAGTATCTCCTATCTAATTAACATAAAAATTCCTATACATTTAACCTTAAAATCTAAACTTATTTGCAAACTAATGTTTCAAAATTAAGTGGCCTATCCCATAAAAATTGGCCCAAAAATGTGTATATAAATGTAACTAACTATTGTACCGGCCTAACTACTGTTGCTACCCACATATTGAAAACACATTGGGCCACCTCTTCAAGGACCTCTTCTACATGTGCAGTCGTATAACGAACGCAATAGACGTCCTCGAAGTACTGTAAGCAAATAGTTACAACAATTTCAAGTTAATAGGTAGCTAATTAAAATTGTTTAAAATTTATAATTGAAGTGTAATTAAATTTTATATATATACCTTGTTAGATAATGTGGTAGGGGCATGAGTGATAATGTCCTTCATGAACTTCATCAAGCAATAACCACAGTCATTGCTCTGATCTGGCTGGAATGGACACTATAAAAAAACACATATCAATGAAATTGCAAAATATAATGAGACAATTTCTTGATTAAAAACTTGACCAATTAAATGAATACCTTAACAGTGACCCATTTCTCTGAAGATTCGAATGCCCTCATCTTAGGGGACACAGTCATGTCGGTCGCAGTGCGATACAACACCACAGCTCTAAGAAGGAATTATGGAATGAATGTGAGAAATATATATGAATGAAAACTAAAATTAAAAAGAAATAACAAGTAAAAAAATCTAACTTACTCATTAAAAAGTACCACCATATCTTCCCTGTTGCTTGGCTCTCCATTAAGGGGATCGAGATACCATATTTTTGGAGCAACGGGATTAACCACAATAAGCATCCAGTGTCCCCTAACAAGAAACAGCACATGTTACCAAACAAATAAATATAAAAAAATATTTACTCGTAACAAATATTAACAACTCACCCTTGGCAGTAAGGAGCGAGAAATAAAGTATCCTTCGCTGCTCCCCTTTCTCGAAATTGATCCGAAAGCATTCTTGCTTGATTTTCAAGGGCTTCCTTTGTAATATTATTGTGGGGAGAGACATCATGAGGATTAACCAGCTTGATCTTTGACTCGAGGCCACCAGGAACCACGAATGAGGTATAAAGGTGACTTGGGTGAAAAAATATACAAGTTAATATGCTTGCATACTCACACACATAAATAATTCAAGAAATTAACTAATAAATGTTGAAGAATTACCTCATGTAGAAAGTCATCAAACTAGTGCTCGCCATATCGTGCTTGAGGATTTCATTCAAAATTTCATCCCGAACGACTTCAAATGATGCTCTACCAAATAGCCCATCGTCAAAATTAATGATATCCCCTATCGGCTCTTGACGAATCATCCTCGTAGCCGAAGCATAGGTCTCAAGAGAGTCACGGAATTTGTTTTCTACAACAGGCATAGGCACTGCATGTTGCAAACCGTGACTGACTCTTTAGTATGGCCCGACACCTTATCCTTCAATTTGCTTTTCCCCCTTGGCTATACAATGAAAAAGTTAGACATATATATATATATATATTAAAGATTTTAAATAATTATATAAATCATATATACCTTTTTCTTTGGTGGCAAGGGGTCCTTTGGCGGCTTTGGGTCCTTTGTCGGCTTTGGTGTACCAACCATAACAAGGTGGCTGGGCCATGCAACGAAGCTCCCCAACGCATCTCCTACCGTCTGCATCTCATCGGTAGGATAAGGTAATGGATACTTGGGGTCGATTGCAACAAGCAAGGAAACCCTAATGCAATCGGGCGGGAGGGGAAGGTTATGGATTGTGTCCCCGGCAATGTTATACACGCGTCCCGTTGCAACTACTTTGCGTGACGGATTGTCTGCTAAACAGTTGCAGTCATTCTCGCCCTAAATAAATGAAGAATGTTAGTTGTTTAGATAAAAAATTAGTTGAGCAAATTTAAAAGAGAAAATGCATTACCTCGGGTATTTTGTCTGAAGGGACTGTGCAGCTATCTTTTCCGCTGGGGCTAACGTCACCCAAAAGCCTCCCAGGGATCTGGCCCTTCAATAGCATGTCAATTAACTTTGCTTGGGCTTCTAGCTGTTGCTTCATAACAGCTTGCTCTTCTCTCAACTCTTGGACCTCGATGAAGAAGCCGATGTTCGCTTCTTAATCTTGCCAAAGTATTGCTTCTTTGTGACACCGAAGCCAACACCCCTAACACGACCAGGGTGGTCAGGGGTCCCCAACGCTCTAGCTAAGATATCCTCATGCTCAGGAAGCTTGCCCTGTGATACTTCTTGAGAGAGGGAATCCTGTGAAAAGTAGAGCTAATTAGTATGCCTTTTAATAATCATTTATTAATTGATAGATAAGAATAACACTTACAATTTTTTCAGCAACCTCTTTCACACGAGGGTTGTCAATCACTCCATCTTTATTTGTTCGTGCCAATGCCCAGAGTCTTTGGCGGGATATAGTAACATCCGATCCCTCGGCCTCAACTTCTTTTGCTCCACGCCTGCATACCCTAACCTCCCTGCTCTGTAAGGGTATTCATTCTTGGCCACTCTCTTCTTATTTTGGGCGCTCAGTTCCTTTAATCAATAACAAAAATATCCTGTTAGTACACATAGATATATTCAATAAAAGGCACTAAAATTTAAATTTTAGAAACATAAATACCTTAAATTCCTTCTCGCGCCGAGAGACAACAAAAGCATCCCAATCTTCTTGCTTTACTAAAGGCTGTAATAGGGGAGGAACTTGGGCTACAAATTCAGCATCAGGGTCTTTCAAATATTTTTGTGTAATAAAATGTCTGAAAGACCGTAATGCCCTCCCAGCCTTTTGAAGGACAAAATCCTTCTTGCTCTCGTCTATTTCAAATCCTGACTGTAAAATAAAATAAATATGTTAGGTGCATCAATTTATAATATTATAATAGAATATAACTTAGTCAAATGCAACTTACAGATACAGTCTCCCAAACAATGTCCTTCGTGGCTTGATCAACTTTGCGCCAAGATTTCTGCGTGATAGGTACAGTTGTCTTTGCCACAACCCCAATATAACTTATAAACTTTACAGATTTGATGGCTTGGCCTTTCTTGTTCCACTGCACTGATATTTTTTTCCCTGCTGCTCTTGTTTTTGTGACTTCTTCCATTATTGTTAGGCCTCGCTGGATATTGTAATATTCCTGTTCCAATTTTTTTTGTGACAACGGAGCATCAGTACAAGTTGTAGCGGGATCTGATGGAGGGATTTCAGTGGACTCAGAATCTGAAGCCATTTACCTGTAACACAATAAAATTCCAAAATTAATCAACCATGATTAATTCAAATATAATCGACTATATTAATTCAAACATGAAACAAAAATGGCATAATTAATTCAAAGGTTACATGTTCAAGTTGCTCTTTTTCGTTTCCTTGACTTGGGTTTTTTACTTCCCCCTCCTTGAAATATTTTCTTCTTATGCTGAAATAATTTACCCCTCTTTGAAATCCAAATGCCTTCATTGTGATCATTTCTCATGTATAGAGCTTCATCAACAGTGTCGTTACTTTGATTTGATGTCCCTTCGAATGGGTCATCTTCAATTGCTACATTTTCATTTATTTTTTCATGTAACATAAGAATAGACCACCCCTTATTAGCAGGGTCAGGGACATAAAACACTTGTTTGGCTTGTTGCGCTAAAATAAAAGGCTCATCCTTATACCCTTCCTTGTTTAAATTGACTTGTACAAAGCCAAATTGGTAATCAAATTTCAAGCCATTTTTTCGATCAATCCACTTACCCAAAGACTGGAACTCGAAAGGATATGTAATCTAAATCCCATATATGCTCAATTACACCAAAGTATGACATGTTTGCATAGATAGGATTTTTATCCTTAGTGCTGGAAATATGCATGGAATGAGCTACAAGAGTTACACCACTATTTTGCATTGTGCTCCTATCATCTTGCTCCCTTGTATAAAATGTGTATCCGTTGACAAGGTAAGCAGTGTAAGAAATGGCCTGTCTGCTTGGACCGTTAGCTAACCATCTCAATTTGTTAGAAACTGAATTGGAATCAACATTTAACTTTTGAAGAATGTGCTCCTTAAACCATCTTGTAAAAGTTTTGTTGTGTTCCCTAGCATACCAAATTTCTGATTTATTGAGATTGTCCCTCCTAAGTTCAGCCATATGCTTGTCTACATACTCTTCAACCTCTTCAGTGTTGTGCAACACATATAAGTGGGCTTGCTCCCACTGTACACTTGACATAGTAATGACTTTATTTCCCATGATCCCTTCTCCACTTATTCTACCCATATGTCGAGACTTTGGAAGCCCAACATAGCTAATATGACTCAGGTACTCAGTACAAAAGTCAACAGCCTCTTCACAAATATACCGTTCAACAATACAACCTTCCGGTCGACTTCGATTTTTCACATAGCCTTTCAAAATCTTCATATAGCGCTCAATAGGATACATCCATCTTAAATAAGCAGGCCCACACATTTGAACCTCCCTAACCAAGTGAACAGTTAGGTGGATCATAATATCAAAGAATGCCGGTGGAAAATACATCTCAAGCTCACACAGTGTTAATACAATTCGAGCTTGCAACCTTGGCAACTTATGTGGGTTAATCACTTTACTGCAAATGGACTTAAAAAACAAACATAACTTAGTGATCGTCCCTCATACTTTAAGGGGTAAAATTGCACGTATAGCAACTGGAATGAAATCCTCCATTAAAACATGGCAATCGTGAGACTTTAAGCCCTTCAACTTCAAATCTTTCATTGATACAATATTTTTTATATTTGAAGAGTAACCCTCAGGAACTTTAACTACATTAAGGAACTCACAAAATGCAGTTTTCTCTTTCTTAGATAGCGTATAAGCTGCCGGAGGGAGAAAGGTACGGTTCCCCTTATCTTGGGGTGCTAATTTTTCTCTTATTCCTAAAGAGACCATGTCCAACCTTGCTTTTATGCCATCTTTTGTTTTTCCTGACACTTGGAGTAAAGTCCCAATAAGACTCTCACAGACATTTTTTTCAATATGCATGACATCAAGAAAATGCCGAACATCCAAGGTGGTCCAATAAGGGAGTTCAAAGAAAATAGATCTCTTCTTCCATCCGGTTGTCCCAAGGTGCCTTGCAAATGGTTTGCCAAATTCAATATCCAAATCCTTAATCTTCTCAAACAACTCATCACCAGTTAACGGCAAAGGTGTCTTACCTTCTTCTGGATTTCCATTGAACGCTTTTCTCAACCGCCGATAATGATGTTCTTGGTGTAAAAACCTACGGTGGCCGAGGTAAACATTCTTCATCCCATGTTGAAGCCTTATAGAATGTGTTCCCTCTTCACAAATAGGGCATCCAAGTTGCCCTTTAATGCTATACCCTGACAGATTGCCATAAGCAGGAAAGTCATTGATTGTACCGAAGAGCATAGCTCTTAAATTAAATCTTTCTTCTCTATACCCATCATATACCTCTATACCTGACTCCCACATGATCTTCAAGTCATCAATTAGAGGAGCCAAATATATGTCTATGTCATTCCCAGGTTGCTTGGGTCCTGCAATTAGCATGGACAACATCATATACTTGCGCTTCATGCAAAGCCATGGAGGAAGGTTATAAATCACTAAAATGACTGGCCAAGTGCTGTGGCTACTACTTTGAATCCCATGAGGATTCATCCCATCGGTAGACAATGCAAGGCATAGATTCCTACTCTCTTCCCCAAATTCAGGGTACTCATAATCAATCTTTCTCTATTGTGGAGAATCAGCAGGATGACGAAGCATGCCATCTTTTATCCTTTCATCCGCATGCCATGTTAAGTTTTTCACAATTTCTGCACTGCTATACATGCGTCTAAATCTACGCACGATTGGAAAATACCATAGTGCCTTCATGGGACTTGATCCGTTCTGCTTGTAACGTGAGGCATTACACTTCGAACACTCGGTTAACGACGCATATTCATTTCGAAATAAAAGGCAATCATTAGGGCACGAGTGTATCTTTTCATAACTCATGCCAATTGATCGCAATACTTGTTTTGCGTTATATGTTCGACAAGGAAGCTCATTTTCCTTAGGAAGTAATTCTACTTTCAAATACCCAAGCAACTCAGTAAAGCTTGCATCACTCCATCCATGTTTTGCCTTCATGTTGTACAATTTTAACACTGCTGACAACTTTGATGCACTACAACCAGCATACAACGGTGTCTCTGCATCACTTTTCAACTTCTCAAACATTTTCGGATAATCCTTGAGGTCCTCTTCAACTGCTTTGGCCATCTGTTCAAGACAATCTTCCTCAAGTGTGCATGTGTCAAAATCATCAGGAGATGATGCACAGCTTTCACTATGCTTCTGGCTGCAACCAATATCATCTCTTGTCTCTCCATGCATTGTCCAACACTTGTAACTTTGATCCATCCCATTAATCACGAGGTGTTCTTCACAAGTATCTGGACTAACCCGCTTCACAAGACCACACTTTAAACATGGGCAAACAATCCTAGTAGGATCCTCCGCATGTTTAACTGCAAGCTTAACAAAATTTGCCACCCCATTCCAATATTCCTTGGATAGACGATTGACAGACATCCATTCCTTATCCATAATTCCTAGAAAGATTAAGAGGGAAATATGATTAGTGACTTTGACTACTCCTAGATAGTGGGAGAATTAGATACAAAGATCAATTAGTCAATAAGTCACTAACCACATGTTTGCACATTCCTCTTTAATCTTGTTTAAAACTAATAATTATATTTTAATGCTAGCCATTGAAATAATTTTGACAGCATAACAACTTAAAAAAGAGAGTTTCCTGAGCCTTATCCCCTCTTCCTATTAATCTAAATGACAACAACAACATCATCTACAACAACAAACACATAAAGTTATATTCAAGAATAATTTAAAAAAAATTGATAGTATATATAACGGCTTAAAATGAGTATTACCAGGTCTTTATGCCTTTAAAAAAATCAAGTTATCTATAATGAGACTATATATGATCCAACAACAATA